GTATTTATGTGCAGAAAATCTAGTCATTAGATTTTCTTCATCATTTCCACGCAACAAACTTGTGACACTGCTTACAAGCTAACACTACTGTTTTAGCAATACTTTTAAAACGAGAGATTTCAACTGGAGGATGTCAATACTCCAGTTACTTATTTCCTGAAGTATTTTCTCGCCAAATGTCTTGAAATTCTAATGCGTGGTTCTCGAAGAATATGCGTATTTCCGAGAAAGCTATTCAGCATTCACTCTCAATTTTTTGACTTACCATGCATGCATTTCATTTAACTGGGTTCTTTTGGTAACAACGAAAAATCTGAGAATTGCTGGGTTCTTTATGTCGTTACGTTTTCCAACACACTTTACTAATAAAGGACTAAAACTGGCACCAATACACCGTGGATGTCATTTATGAAGAAAAATAGAGCCGATGGCTCCGGCATCGAACAAACAAAATGATCGCTGTATCGACGCCATGTTTGTTTGTTTGTTTGTTTGTTTGTCTGTTTGTTTTTTTGTTTTTCGTATTAGCAAGAGCGCTCGCGAAAATTTTGTTCGGTCACCTTAAATTCTACTCGCTTGTATTGTGACGCGAGGAAATCAAATAACTCAGAAAAACTCGTAACGTTTAGTTGTCACTTTCTCCCAATAGCACTGTTGAAAGTTCTGCAGTCGTTTCAAGGGTTTCAGTGCCCTTTGCAGAGTTGCCAGCTCGTGCCTTAACGAGCCCAACGTGAAGGTTCAACAATTAACATCTTAGTATGTCCACATTTGGTATGTCCAATATCAGGTCGAAACGAGCATTGCAAGAAAGAATGGTCCTAACACTATAACAAAATGGATATGCTCTGGAAATCATGACTCACATTATTTTGGCGCTTACAGACACCTTCGTAAATAATATTTTTGTCAGACATCTTATTTGGATTACGTAATAAATCTTTAACCTCTAGAAAATACAGTTTAGCAATTTATACTGTACATATTCAACCTGAAACCTCAAAGCCCTAATATATTTAAAAAGCTTCCACAGATGTAACTATTAGTATAAAAACTGGGCTGGGAATCATTGAGACACCTAGCGCGGTCTACCCAGTCCTGCTCATTGTTGTGACTCGTTCTCGACTCAACTTTCAATTACAAGCAATCAAGTGAACACGGGTGGTTCATTTTATCAATTCAAAAGCCCCGGCCTTTATCCCCAGCAAACACAAAAGGAAGCAAAACGAGTGATATTTAAATGAATTATTACCTGTCTTCACAGTTGAACTGTTGAATCAAGCCACATCAAACAGATGCGTTGTTAAACCCAAATCGAATTCATCCCTCTATATAACTACCATCAGATTAAATTGTTCGATTTAAAAGTTTGACATCTGAATTGAGCCTGAGGCAAGACAGCTTTGCGGTCGTCACTGCCTGCTTTTAATATAAGACAACAATGAACACCGCTGGGGACATGATTGCGTGGTGTCTGAAGCGGAGTCCGAATTCGTATACAGGAAAGTTCATTCTGGTGCTTTTCTTTATTGCCATGTCCTTTCTTAATCAGCTCCAAGGGTGTTTTCAGCATTCAAAAAGCGTGATTTGATCTGTGATGTTATCCCAGTTATTCCCAGCAATTCTATGCAGACAAAAGAGGTATTAATTCTGACCCTTAACTGAAAGTCCTAACCTAGATGATGTGACAATTAGCGTCTAATATCACTCTGGCAGATAACTTTGGCCAAAGTTAATCAAATGGAATTCCCTCGTGTATCGTCAAGATATCACATCTGAAATACATCCTGTTATAATCCAGTCGTTCATTTAAATCTGAATTCGTTGTTTTACGAACGTGGCTGTCAGCATCATTACTCGACTCAAAGCTGTGGTTTTCTTTCCCGTTGGTCTTTCTGATCAATTCACTGGCTTTCAGCTGTAGCAATCCACCAAGAGAAAAGATGGGAGAGAATTGTGGCTCAAGTATATGCTACCGCAGAGACCTACGTGCCATTGTCAACGAGGTTAGCTCAGAAAATATGAAGTTTGTTATCCACTGTTCAATGACTAAATTATTATCTTCAAAATCTTGCGAGGTAAAGGTCTTCGATGCTTTGAGCAGTTTTCTTGTTTATTGTACAGTTTTATTTGTTTTTATAATCACGGCTGTATTAAATTTGATATCTTTTTTCTAGTTTGGCTGATATAAGTTTTTGATGTTCCACGGGGTAACTTTGAGTATTCAGGGTGATTTCTCCGTTACACACGTATTCAAAAACACCCTCAAATTCACTCAATGATGAAAGAAAACGAGCGAGGGCCGAGGTTGAATGTTGAAAAATAAGGCAACAAATTCCTCACCACGTCCCCCATGATGTCATTCAGGAATACTCAACATCGAAACTGAGTTATGATAGGAGCTTATGAGATAAAGTTCTTAAGAAGCTGTGAAATAATTTAAAAGTTTTTGATGTTAAATCTCGTGTTTCAATAATACCCCTGTTGGCAAATGTTGTAACCTGTCTTCCAAAAAAAGAAAACTGAAAGACGATTTTGGCACGTGAAAGAAAGAGAAATAAATATCATTACAGAGTAGAATGTCTTCGATTAAGTGCTGAATCGTGCTCGTATTTTTCACACATTTTGCAGCCAAGCGTGTTCGCATAGTTTAGCGTGGCAAGGTTTAATCCTGCACTTAACTTAAAGTTTCGAATTTAAGATTATCTCTCGAGATACCTTTTTAACTACTTTGTGGCGCCAGATGCCTCGAGAAAAAGAATCAGCGATGAAAAGTAAGAAAAGCGTGTCGCAGTTAGGAGGGGGCAAGTCACATGAGAGAATCTGACGGTCTCCGTACGTCTAGATCTAGTTCCCTGTACGTACCATCCCGTTTTTTTCATGGACGGTAATTCCTCGATCGTTCGTCAAATTTAAAAGCGCCAATGACGATTGTATAATGGCATCCGACAGGTAATATACGATGTCACAGATGTTAATATCCAGCATTCTCAATTGGAAAGGTAATCGGAACTGTTGATCATGTTATCTCTGCATTTTTAAAATTACTTCTCGGAACAGTTATTATTCAAATTGATGGGGTTTTTATTGAAATACTTACACAATTTGATATATAATTTAATTTACCTTACTATATAAGAAACTGCATTTCTTTATGAATAATGCGTCGTACGTGTAAGCAGAACAGAAAAGACTGAAGAGGGGCTGGAGTTCACATTGCTTAGTACCCGTTTATTTGCGAGGAGATTCCCAGCCATAATGTCTTTCTACCATTTCTTGATTCACAACAGTTAGTTGAGAAAGTTGGTAGGATAATTGCTCGTTTTTATTTAAATACCGAGTTTCCTAATTTGATCGTTCGTGTTTGTTTACTCACACCAAATGTATATGTAAGTGCGTGAGAAGTGCTCTTGAGGCGCTGAACGTTAATATTCCGGATTAATACGAGCATTAATTACATCTCTAGATCTCTTGTCGTCGATAACAGAGCAGGGAAGATCAAGAAAAAACAAGCTAAAATATTCCAGTTCCTTGGCTACTTGATTTATCTTAAACTGATGCGGCCTTTTTACTATCGATTTGACAAAGTCGAATAACTTTTCATTGCTTTGCAGATTCGAGCAATTAACTTCGAATTAACTGAGTTAATGTTTGTCTTTTATTGGGGGACTTTTCATCAGTCAAGGTACGTAATATTCGGAATTCAACCTTATCTCCGGCAATCGAAAAATGACCGATTATAGCCATCCTCACTGCGGTTTTCAAAGGGGACATACAAATTTAATTAACGCTCGTTAGGTACTTTGCAATTGTAAAGTGAAACTGTGAATGGTGTCCCTTCTGTTGACAGTGCTCAGCAGCTGAACAGTAATTACAAAAGTGGAGGCAGATGACAATCTGCTGATAATCTGTTAATATCTAGTGCCTTCTAATGCGACGTCTTACCATATGGAAGACAACGGTCGGTATGCTTCACATAATTACTTGAGTGAACGGATTTCCTTTAAATTTCTTGTGGTCACTTTTATGCAATTATATTGCCATAATCATATTTAATTGCATTCATAATAATCGTCGCATTGTACGCCGATTTTCTGTTTCAAACTCAACTCTGAAATGGATTTCCATCTGTAAGAACAGCCATACAGTTGCAGGTAATTAATTGTAGCATTTCCTTCAGAGTGGAATCCCTGAAGCACGGGTGCATTCATTTTAACCATGCACAGTACCGACTAGTCAGCTATCTCAGTGAACAGTTATTTTACCGGATACTGAAATCCAAACAGTCATGTTAATTAAACCTCATGGTAGACAAAGCGGAATCATTTAAAAATACTACAATTCCAAGGGAAGGATAAAGTAGTATATAAGTACAGACATGAGCAAAAATTTAGAGGATGGCTTAAGAATATCGACAGACCGTACTGTAATTTTAATAATTCGACTTATTAAAATAAGTCAGATACTGGTGGTCTGTAGCTTCGAGTAGTATACAGTAAAACTTTGCATGACTTTTGTGAAAATTAACGTTGTATACCTAAAAGGTTTTCCTAGCTTGCAATCAATCCATGCCGGTAGACATGTTCGCCATGCAATTGCCGAGTGTGTAAGTTTGGCGAGTTCAGTTCCTAAGGGCATATTTCAGTGTACAGTCATCAGAAGAAAGGAGATGATTCTATCTGCTTTAAAAAAAGTGTAATCACATCTCCACTTTCATCTTCACAGAAAATCGAAATTGTGGAGTTTTCAGCAGCAAAGGACTGCGGAAAGATTTGCCAAATTAGATCAGAACTGTAACAAAGCGGTCGATCTGCTTAGCAAAACTATAATTCTTATCTCATTTCCGGTTTGGATTAGCCCAAATAGCCCCCAACATTGTTGCTCTGTTTCTTGCAATAGGAAAATTTATAAATTCTAACTCAGTTTAAACCTGAGCGTTGAAAAGTTAACGTTATAAAATTCATGGGTTTAAAACGCACGAAATCATACCAGTGACATCCGGATCTTAATAAGCATCGATTTTTTCGAGTTTACTTCTCCCTTTTCTTCCAAGTTTCAGTCTTGATTGATATAAAGTGTTTTATACTTTTATTCGTTAGCACGTGGTATTTTTAATTCGGTAATGTTTAGAAAAAAATTCCTGAGTTCCTACTCTAAAATCATGCGTTTCCTGTAGTCAGAGCGCAATTAAAAATCGCAATTCAAAGTGGAATATTTCGTTCGGTCCCACCGAACTTCATCAGCCACAATAAAATTGTGAATGTTAAGAAGGGTTATATGATGTTCATTATGGTCTCAAGGGGGCTCAAATAGTGTCTTAGATGTTGGCTAATTCGAAGCTATTGTCTCTGTTCAAAGAGGGCTTTCGAATCGTAATTGGATCTCAATCTCTGTAATCGTTGTTTGGAAATGGGATGAAATACCGTCTCTTGTGTTTGATACATATTTTTATACCATGCCAAGGAAAATACAGGCAATAAGAAAACAGGAAAGCCGTTGTATGGTCAATTGTATTACATCCAACTTTCCAATCGAGTGCTGTGCGTATGTGGCATATGCATATTTTGTGTTAGCCACTGTTTCTATGACCTGGTATAAAATCGTTCTGTTAAGCTTTCCTTTGATATACCATGGAATATGCCCCAAAGGCTTGTGTGTATACCGAAAAAATACAAGTGGCTCGTAGGTTATTCCATAGTATACTACACGAAAACGTTGCATAACTAGCATAGACACGACAACTAACAATGCAATTCCAATTTTCTCTTTTCAGATATAATTCCATGGAATCATGAACAGGAGCATGGGGAGAAATTTTACGAGCCCTTATTTTCAGAATAGCTCCAATTCTACTCCACAAGCACCGACGCAGATCAGCACCATTCCCCTTTCCGAGCAGGTCACGTGGTGTGTTGCACTCGCTTTGGTAGCCTTCGCCATTATCGTTGGCAACACCCTGACCATCGCAGTCTTCACTCGAAAGAAACTACTGCGCCTGCGTGCCAACTACTTCCTTGTGACGCTGGCTGTTGCAGATCTTCTGGTGGGCGCCTTTGCTGTCCCGATGTACATTCACCAGCTTATATTTTACTGGAAAACAAACAAAGGAACTGACAAAGGAACTTACATCGCGTACAAAGCTATTGACATTTTTACAGGATTTGCCTCGATTTTCGCTCTCACAATTATAGCTTTGGAACGATTATTTGCGGTTATGCGTCCATTACGACATCGGATCGTCTCAAAATCTACTTATTACGGCCTTATAGCAGTTGTGTGGTTATTATCATTGCTGGTTGCCGTGTTGTATTTTATGAACGGCTTCGAAGTATTCAAATTCAAAATTTTCTTCTATTTCATCATTTTCTTCATATTTTCTTCGCTTTTAGTCATTTGCGTGACTTATGCCCTCATATGGGCAAACGTGACAAAAGAGAAAAAAGAAAAGCCAAAACGGGAGAGTAGATATCAAGAAGAACTTGAGCAGCAGAAGAGAAGCGCGCAGGAAAAACAACTGGTCACCACTCTTCTCATATTAACGCTTGTTTTTGTTCTGACCTGGGTACCGTTCTACATTTTAAACATCGTGGTGTTCGTAAATGATAAATGGGAGTCTTCTCATATTCCTTATGAAGTTTTCGCCTTTACTAAACTCCTGCATTACAGTAACAGCTTTGCGAATCCCATAGTGTACACCGTAAGAATCCCCCGATTTAGTCGAATTCTTCTGGGATCATTTCGACGGAAGAAGACTGCACTCTTGGAGTCACTGCGGCGCCCAAAACAATTAGCTAGTAGTCTTTGAAGCAATTGTTCGTTTCAATGACAAATATGAACACTGCTGAACTTGATTACAAATGGGGAAACTTTCTCTTAATTGCCAGAACCAGGGCGTTGGTTGAAAAATAACTAAATCTAAATCAATTCAATTAAACTGCTTTGTATATGCCAAGTTTTGTAAAAGAATATATACAAACGTTAATAAGAGCTTGAAGCTTCACAAAAGAAGTAAGTTAACAACATAAACCACTTTATTGTTGGGTTAGTTACTGATAGGGGAAGGTAAAACAAAGAGCCAAAATACCACATGACGGCAAGCATTGTCGGAACATGCAACAGGTGCTGCTCATTTGTTGTAGATCAACTATCAAAAGAATTTTTCTGCATTTGTGAGCCCCACTTTTTGCCGCCATTAATACATGAGGTCCTCATTGGGGTGGTGGTTTAATTTATACGATTAACGGTTAATATATATATATATATATTCTCCTCAAACTCGGTCGTGAAACAAAATGGCGGTGTTTTGGGGCTATTTTCGAGATTTCGTCGGGGCACCGAAATTCGAGGATTTAACCGAATCCAAAAATTTTTTTGTGGAAGTATTTCAAATAACAAGATCGTTGGTGACTCATCAAGAATTGCATCAGAATTGATGCAGGAAAAAGGAAATAGATACATGTAGCTATGATCAGCTATGAAGCTCTACCAGTAGGGTCTAAAAATACCCTTTATCTATTGGCTTATATTCTATAATTAGAGACAATGTAACATTTAATTTAAACCCAGAAAAATGTCGGTGAAAGAAACTTAGTACCACTTCTTTAAAACAGAGTCTCGCACGCGTAACTTGTAGCATTTTTCGCAATATTAACTTGATCCTATTTGTTAAGCGTTCTCTCGTCCAGGGGGACCCTGATTTTTTCCTGCTCAAGAGGCTATGCCCTATTGCGTCGAGCGTAAAAGCAACTGGATGTGACATTTCCCAGATAAAAGCAATTCACCATTTATGAGAATCAGCTGTTGTGTCCAAAAGCTAAGTATCAGTTCTTCTAAACCTTTTACATTAAGTCTAAAAGTAGAAAGCACTGTTTGAAGAGACTTATGCCAACTGCACTTTCTACATCTTTCAGCGATTCAATGAAAAGTTCAAAGAGCCTCGTTTGGACATCGTGATCGATACATGAAGCAGTATATCAAAAGCCAAAGTGTGAAAAGCTAAAAAATGCAGCCTATCATTTTTTACTACTGTTATCAATGCTATTCATTTGTTGTTTGCTGAAAAGAAGTTATTTCTTGTTGTGTTTGTTTGGCGTGACATTTATGCCATTTTAAAGCATAATCAATTCAGGACATCACCTGCCATTATCAAGTCATGGAAACTTTCTCTCATCTGCGAACAACCAGTTTTAACTCAACGATTTTCGTGCTACCTTGAGAAGATGTTTTCGTGATTGTTAACGATGTCGTTTATCCGTCAGTATTTGAAAAGATTACTCGTGAATCCAAAAAATAAGGGAGAGAGTAGTTTCTACTATTTTCCTTGTTCAGTAAAAAATAACCCGAGAGATTTCATGATATCCTAAAAGAAAAATACACGCTGTAACATGACGTTTCGGCGTCATCTTGTCGCCATTATCCCAACTGCAGATTTAATAAGTCGTTCAAGATGGCGCCGAAACGTCATAGCGTCTATTTTTTTTCATGATCAAGAAAAAATGCTGCCCGTATTCCGTAAGCTTTGCTTGGCGTGTTCGCTAACACAACCAAAATGCCTGTCTCCGTTCACTGAGCCTGGAATCGATTCATTTTACAGTGCCCATTTTGTGTTTTGCTTATGGTCACTCGTAATCATTTCAAGGTCGTAAATAAAATTGCTCTATTAAGGAAGTTCGTAGTTTGTAAGTTGTCCTCCACACCTCTCCGATCCGTGTCTCTTACTACACTTTAGTAACCACCATGCCATCAGCTGTCATTCCTGATGAATGAGCAGAGCTTGCCTGGCTGATGTCACTTGCTGCTGCTCCGTGGTCCGATTCACCGTCATCATCAAGATACGAGTCCAGTTTGGAATCCTGTTGAAAAATCAACTGTCAAAAGTGATATTTTTTCCTAATCCACTAGCTTCATAAAGAAAGCTTTGGCTGTTTCTTCTGGATGGGATGCTGAGTCAGTATCATATATAGGGAGAGGTTGAGGCACTGTAATACAAGAGGGTTGTACAATAACATAACGCAAGGATCATTCTGTATGTGACCTCTGAATAGATGCAGCCCATTACAATGAGTCAGACCGTTTCGAGACCACACCTTCCTTTAGAACTGCACACTAGACTAAAAGGGTTGGAATATTGGTTGAAAGGAATTTCTTGACTCAAATATGCCGTAAGCAGAATTCAATTTTTGTAAGTGTTTTTTTTTTTT